TTTTTTTTTTTTTTTTTTTCCTATTGCTGTATCATTTTCTAGAATAGGTTATACGCAATTTACCAGCAGTGTGCCATTTACACTGTAAAATCCACCAGCATTTGTGGAATCATGGCAAAAATAGATGTTACCAATTTGTTGTATGATCACCACCATGAGTTTCCTTTGGTTTTTCATTTCTCAAATATCTAGGATTGGGTTAGCTCATTTTTTTGAGACATTGTCTCTCAGTTATATATTATTGACTGTCTTGGAACTCACTGTATAGACTATGCTGGCCATAATTCATAGATATCCTCCTGCCTCATAGACTCTGAAATACAGACTACTTTTATTTTATAGCTCTCAATGCATAGGTTCTATAGGTTGTTTATATTTAAAGTTTACCTGAAGAATATTTTCTTGACTAATATGGCAATTAAGAGAAAAGGAATTACTTAGAAATCAGCTTCTTAAGTATAATATTAAGAAACAAAATACTCTTTATGCTGGTTTTTCAAAGCAGGGGGAAGAAATTAATCTAAGAGATAAAGATAAGATGATTTGAAAAGTAGGTGAGTTTCCCTTATATAGCTTGACTTTTCTCATTAGGACTTCAACTTCTTTGTGCTTCTCATTTGATCAATTTTTTGTATCTCTTTGTTCAGGAAGAGTTAATGATTCAAAAGAGGATAATTCAGATGACCTGAATTTCCAGAACACTTCGCCTTCATCAAGTCAGAAAAATACACCTACAACAGAGGTAAAACTAAAAGGGTCAGGGTCTCTGCTAATTGATGGTGGTAGAGCTAAGTCAGATCGTTGACTTAGCTCTTTTAGGGATAGGTGTGTATTTCCTTTTTCTTACCACAGTTATTTCTTAATTACAAAGAATATTTTTTATATTAAACATGACTAAAATAGGGATTGAAAAGACTGTAGGGCTTTGTTTTTGTCAATCCAAAGGAAAATACTTTCATTGCCATTTTTGAAATTTTACTTGTTTTGACAGTAATGCTGTTTTGTGTTACTAATAGATATAAAAATCTCATGAAGTGTGAAGCACACTTAGATACATTGATAATATTTGTATTGAGAGGAATTATATATCATAATGTCTTCAAATTATGGAAGGGCATGGTTATAAAGAAGCCTTACCATACTGCCTCTTTTGAGAAGCGGCTTAGGGATACAGCACAAGAAGGGAAGTATACTTTAAGCTTATTGGTGCTTTGTACTTTTTTTTTCTTTGGGACAGGGTCTTGTTAGAGAGTTGAGGCTTGTGTTTATCTTATAATCCTCTTCCTTCAGCTGGGATCACAGATGCGTGTCACCATGCCCCGTTGTATTGTATTTTTCTCTTATCCAATTAACTGGAGCTTGGGGACTTCAATGCTACTGCTGTCCTTACATTCACTCCTAGAAGGTCCAGCAGTAATAGCTCCTTGACTGAACTTCTGCCTCCTCATAAGACTTGCAAGAGTGCTGCTTTAAGAAGAGTGTAGCTTGGTTGTAGTCTCCTGTAGTCTTGTCTACCCTGCTCTTTTGTGTGGTGGACACATCAAGGTTATCATGGCTTGGGGTCTCCAGCTTAGTGAAGTGTTTGAATTGTTAGTCCACAGAATGATTTTTTTATTCTGCAAAAAAGATGATTTGAAAGTGAGCAACTTCATAGAATATCCCAAGGAGCTCTTTTATTAGCACATATTAATTATATAGAGTAATGGGTTTTATTATGACATTTTCATGCATTATATTATGAATTTTGATCATGTTGTATCCCTGGGCCTTTTTTTTTTCTTCACCGGTTGGAAACTTAGCTGGGTGGGATCTTCCCAAGGCAACTCCTCATTGTTTCAGTGCAGATTAGGTCTCTCCTAAATGACAGTAATATCCTTAGCAATTGCATTCTCTTTTCTATCTTATGCCTTGGTGCAACATTAGGCTTTCTGGTGTTCCTTTTTCCTCTCTAAACTGTACATTTTGTATTTTCTCTGCCTTCCTTGCTCTTTTTCATTATAGACCTCTATGTAAATGGTTGTAGACTGCCAGATGGGTTCTGGGAACTGAACCTGGGTCTTTTGAATGAACAACAGGTGTTCTTAACCTCTGAGTCATCTCAGCAGCCCCCTAGAATAGTTCGTTTCTTTGAAAATGTGATTGTATTGAAGTGTGATGTGCTTTTTATTCATCTAATTAAATTCAGTGTTGTTTACCAATGAGCCAGGTACAATTCATAATGTTGCAAGTATATGAAAGAAGAGTAACAATTTTTCCTTAGGCAGTGCAAGATTTCATGGTGAAGACACACGTAGAAATACTGAACTTAGTTCATGGAAGTACTAATATAAAGATAAATGTAGTGCTAAGAATTTTATATTCACAGTAAACAGAATGTCATAAGCACTTACAGAAATGTCTTTTAGCTTGTAGCCAATATTTTTTAAACAAAGCTAATATTTATTAGTTTTAGATAACTTGAGTATTAAATGTATATTATTTGTGTTTATGTAGCACCCTGCACTCTTTTGGAAAACTGGAAAATATTTACTAAGTCAATGTATGCTTCCAGTGATTTTTTTGAGCGTTATCTATGTGATTTACATAATAACTATGTGATTATGGCTTTAATTCCATTATTAAAGATCTTATTACTCTTAAGTCTGTATCAATTATATTTCTTTTACTAATTTTCCTAAAATTCTGCATGTAATTTGTTTTCTTTTTCATGACTATAGGTTTTTGAAAAAAATTCAGAGAAGGTAAAATCCTCCAATCTAACATTCTTAAGAAAGAATCATGACTTACTTTTTCAGGTGCCTCCAGAAAGGTAAAAACAATATATTTATTTAGTGAGTTTTCTGATTACTCTCTTCACATTTATACTTGTTCCTCTAAATGGAGATGATGGTCAATGATCCTTAAGAACTGACTATTTTCTCATGATGCAATTCTTTTCTAAACCTGATTTATCTTTCTTAGAAATATGTTTTATTTATTATATCATAAATGTTATATTGACAAGAAAAAGAAATTCTCAAAAGAGCTATTATCTGTATTATCTTTAGTATCTATAGTATGTCAATAGATACAAAGCTTTTATAAATGTGTGTAGAGTTTCTGGAGGGGAGAATGTTTTTGAGGTAGCATAAAACTCAGTACATATTCAGATTTCTTTCAGAAAGAATTTTTTATTTTTAATTAATGGTACTACTAGAATAGTGAATTCTTAGTACTGTGTCTAAAAAAATGAAAGAACTAGAAGAAAGTACATTTCTCTTTCAAAAACAAAAGAGAGTTTTATAAAACACGTTTTTAAAATGTCCAGTCTTAGGTATTATGTATTAAATAAAAATCTACTTGATTAGACTATTTCAGAGAGATTTATCAATAACATTAGCTATACTCACTAGAATAGTATTGTATAATAATGTAAATATTTTTAGGTATGTGAATCTGTGTAAAGTGTATGTGTATAACATTAAGAAATGCATTAAAAGCACAAAAAATGGTGATTTCAAGGAATACTGAGACCCTATTGACTGGTGAGCTCTACAAACTAAATAACACCTTTGCATTCAGATCATAGCTTAATTAGGCAAACAGATATAAAAATACAAATGGTTGCACAGTGAATATTATATAGTAAAAAACCTAAAGACTGTGCTATAGAAAACTTTTAACTATTTACAGAAAGGAGTTTTCCACAAACTTTACAAAAAGATGTATTTAATTTTTAGTTGTGTGTATGTGTGAATAACTGTGCATGTGTGTGCAGGTACCCATGGAGACCATGGCTGTTGGACCCTTTGGAGGTGGAGTTACAGGTGGTTGTGGGCACTAGCAAGTAGACTGAGGTCCTCCCCAAGAGCAGTGTGACTTTTAACTGCTGAGACATCTCTCCAGCCCCTCATAAGGTTTTTGTTTTGTTTTTGTTTTTTGAAAAAGGGACAACTGTTTTTGGATTTAGAAACCTAGAAACCTAACAAAGGAAAAGATAGGAGAAAATTTTAGGCTGAGAGATGTTTGAGAAAAGTAAGGGCTTGTGAGAATATCTTATTAACAGTGAGAGTATGAGTCAAGAATGAAATGATGTATGTGAGTTCAGATGACAGAAAGCTGCAGAAGAGGAGAATTAAAACTAAAAATATACTCTGCCGAGGGTTTGGTTATGAGTCTTAGTGTCTGCTTTGAAACACTGCTAGGTAGAGTCTTTCATAATCAAACCCTCGGCAGAGTGCAGGGAATCATATGAAAGAAGGGGAGTTAGTATGATATGGAAAGGATAGGAGCTCTACAAGGACCAAATATATCCGAGCACAGGGTCTTTTCTGAGACTGACACTCAACCAAGGACCATCTATGGATATAACCTTGAACTTCTGCTCAGATGTGGCCCGTGATAGCTCAGTAACCAAGTAGTTTTCCAAAGTAAGGGGAACAAGGACTATTTCTAACAGGATCTCAAGGGTAGGCTCTTTGACCTCCCCACCCCCCCAGGGGAGGAGCAGTCCTGTTAGGCCACAGAAGAGGACTTTGCAGCCAACCCTGAAGATACCTGATAAAACAGGGTCAAATGAAAGGGGAGGAGGTCCTCCCCTATCAGTGGACTTGGAAAGGGGAGACCAGGGAGGAAGTGTGGGGTTGGGGAGGGAATGAGGGAGCAGGATACAGCTGGGACACAGAGTTAACAAAATGTAACTAATAAGAAAAATAAAATTAAAAAAAAAAAACCTAAAAATATAGTTTGAGCTGGAGTGAAGTAATTCAGCAATGTGTGAAGCTAAGCTAAGAAAGACTTTTTTTCTAGACATTGAAAATTAAGTTCAGACATCAAATGAGGAGGATTTGCTAAGTGAGGTTGCAAGTGAATGTGCAAGAGCTAAGCACATAGAATAAGTACATTGAGTGGTGGGAGGTCAGAAAGGGAACAGGAAATGAGTATAATCCGTTTTTAAAACTTATTACCAATTGTTAGCTAGACAGATGAACGAGAATTGAATATTTTAGGATATGAGAGGTTATGTAGATAATGGTCATAATTGATTAATTCTGAGCAGAAAGCAAATACAAAGTGACGAGAAAGGTTAATAATCTAAGTGTTTTTAAAGAGTGCATCTGGTTTGAACTTTCTAGCAGTGCTCTTCAGGAAGGAGAAGGATTACATAAAGAGTGCATGAGGGGAATGACTGCAGTGAGATGGCAGGCATTGTCTAAGGACAGAGCAGTAGCCTCTAAAGTGCTGTACAGAATCCCAGTTGTTCCATTACTTCTTGTGGCCTAGCTGTGGAAGAAAGAACCATGGTGGATTGGCCAAAGGGCTTACAAGCCCAGTGCAAGAGGAGATGAAGTTTGTGATTAGGTATTAGAAGTTTAGAATTACCCTACAAGGGTGTCAGATACAGGTGATGAGAGGAGCAATATTAGGAATAGTTGGTGGAAATGAAATGAAGGTGAATATTATTGAATGACGAGATTTTTCGAGATTCTTTTCTAATTGTGTATATTTTTATAAGTCCTATATATATTTCTTGTCTAGGGAGAGTGATGATTCTGAGTGGGATGTCAGTGATTTCTCCCACAGAAACAGGTGGAGCCGTGTGGACGCAGAGTCTGCAGGGCCATCAGAGACTGTCTCCCTACTGCCTCCTGGTATGCCCTTGCACCATTAGTAGTAGTAAGTTCGCAAGGATGCACAAAGATATTCTTAAAAATAAATGAAAGAAAGAGCTACAGTAAATTTTCTAATGTGAAAATAAATTTTTTAAGTGGGACTTAATGTTCTATTTATTTTCTTTTAAATGATAACAACACTTTATCACTGATGAAAACAGTGTACCAGATAAAATGACATTTAATTACTTTTTTATTAATTACACTGTATTCACTTTGTATCCCCCCATAAGCCCCTCCCTCCTCCCCTGCCGATCCCACCCTCCCTCCCCCTTCTTCATGCATGCCCCTCCCCAAGTCCACTGATAGGGGAGGTCCTCCTCTCCTTCCTTCTGATCTTAGTCTATCAGATCAAATCAGGAGTGGCTGCATTGTCCTCTTCTGTGGCCTGGTAAGGCTGCTCCCCTCTTAGGGAGAGGTGATCAAAGAGCAGGCCTATCATATTGTGTCAGAGGCAGTCCCTCTTCCCATTACTATGTAACCCACTTGGACACTAAATTTCCATGGGCTACATCTGTGCAGGGGTTCTAGGTTATCTCCATGCATGGTACTTGGTTGAAGTATGAGTCTCTGGGAAGTTCCCTGGGTTCAAATTTTCTGGTTCTGTTGCTCTCCTTGTGGGGCTCCTGTCCTCTCCAGCTCTTACTATTTCCCACTTCTTACATAAGATTCCATGCACACTGCTTAAGAGTTGGCCATAAGTCTCAGCATCTACTTTGATAGTCTGCAGGGCAGAGCCTTTCAGAGGCCCTCTGTGGCAGGTTCCTAACTTGTTTTCTGTTTTCTTCTTCTGATGTCCATCTTCTTTCCCTTTCGGGATGGGGATTCAGGATAGTCAGGGTCCTCTTTCTTGATTAGTTTCTTTAGATGTACAGATTTCAGTAGGTTTATCATATATTACATATTGATATGAGTGAGTATTTACCATGTGTGTTTTTCTGCTTCTGGGACAGCTCACACAGGATGATCCTTTCCAGGTACCACCATTTACCTGCAAATTTCATGATTTCCTTGTTTTTCATTGCTGAGTAATACTCCATTGTGTAGATGTACCACAATTTCTGCATCCATTCTTCAATTGAGGGGCATCTGGTCTGTTTCCAGCTTTTGGCTATTACAAATAAAGCTGCTACAAACATGGTTGAGCAAATGTCCTTATTGTGTACTTGAACCTCTTTTGGATATATGCCTGGGAGTGGTATGGCTGGATCTTGAGGAAGTGCTATTCCTAGTTGTCTGAGAAAGCACCAGATTGATTTCCAGAGTGGTTGTACAAGTTTACATTCCCACCAGCAGTGGAGGAAGGTTCCCCTTTCTCCACAGCCTCTCCAGCATGTGTTGTCACTCGAGTTTTTGAAAATAAATTTTTAAGGATTTTATATTTTTTGTTTTCTCGTATTAAGTTTTTATTTTCAATTATTTTTAAAGTTAGTATTCAAAACAATGGATTTCATGAAGGCATTTTTATAGTAGTATATTTTTTTCACATGACCCACCCTATTGTCCTCCCCATTTCTGTTGAACCTCCTTTGCTAATCCCCTTCCTCTTCACCAATAGTCCTGTTTTTGCTTTCATGCCACATTTTATTTTCCTCTCAAGAACCCTCTTCCCCTTTCCAGTTTCATGACCTATACATACATACTTTAAAAATACAAACACTAGCCCTTCATATTTATGAGAGAAGTTTCTACCCTTCAATCATTTGTGTTTCCCTCCTTTCTGTGTACGTGTGTGCTGCACCATCTCATAGCATCCAATTTGGCCTCGTGTCTTTGGCAGTTTTACTGTAGGAGAAGGTTTTCTTGTCTCTACTCAGTGCTAGGAGATTTGTGACAGTATTGGCCCCAGTGAGCCAAGCACTGCTTTTTTCTGATCCTCTTGGAATACAGTCTTGGTTGGGTCCTCTTTTCTTCCTGGCGCTTGGTCTTTACCTTGTTACAGTGAGATTTGCCGCAATTCTGTTTATTGTTAGGGCTTTTGTTTTGGGGGGAGCTAGATCCTACTCAGGCATTATGCATTTTTCACAGTGGTAGTAGCCCCCCTCTTCCAAGTCCATACTACTCAGGAAATGATCCTTTCCATTCCTTCATGTGCTCCCAGGCCTTCTGATTAGTACCTGTTGGAGATCTGTGAATGTAAGTCTATGAGTATGTGCTTGACTCTTAGTGACCTTGACTTCGTAGGATTCTGTGTTGTCACCCTGGCCCATACCATATTTGTCAATACACTGCTGTGTCTGAGTGTGTCATTCCCGTGTGTGCAGTTCTTGGTTTCTCTCTTTCACACTAGCTAAATAAGTCAGATGGTGTTCCAATTCCTCTTACTCTTTAGAGGACTGTCTTACCTTAGACTTCAGAGTCTTCTGCTGCCCTGATCTCAGCTGTCTGATAGATCAATTATAAAAGGATAATTTAATGGGCTTAGCAACTTGTATATATTACTTGATCATGAGTGATATTCATAATAGCTTTCTATATCTTAAGCAAAAATAGAACTTCTCATATAAGTATGTCCATAAAATATGAATACATTATTTTGTAAACATATCTTTTTTCAAAAACAAATAGCTATGCACTTAGTTTTTTCCAGGATAACTAATAATACCCCATGTATAGCTGTTCCATAATCTACAGTATGCATTTCTTGTTGGATATATTCTTGTTGTGATAAATATCCCTGGGGCTGAGGCTTTAGGAATACTCTTAGATTGAATTTGAAAAAAAAAGGGGGGGGGCTTTACTCAGATTTGTACTACTGAAACAACAGTGCAAGCCAACAGTTCAGGTCAGTGCCTAAAGAAGCACAACTTACCAGGATAAAAACAAGGTATCTAGAATTCTTAAAGTAGAGGTGTTACATTGTGAGCTGTAGAAAACACACACACTTAGATCCTCACTCTCTGGGGATGTGCTTTTTAGTACTGCCAGCATTCAGACATGATGACCTTTTTGCTTTATTATGATCTCTGAGTTGTAACTCATGTTTGTGTGACATGAAATTTGTTTCTTTCCACCAAAGACTACCACAGCCTGTTATATAGCAAGGCCAGTTCTCAATATACCAAGGGATACTTGAGAGAATATCTTACTTCTAGCTCCTCTCTTCACTTACTGTTAGGACTTCCTCCAGGAGATGTCTGTAAGAGGCATAATGACAAAAAATTAATTCCCTCTAAATATGGAGAATTATATATTAGCAAGTAAAGGACAACCAATAGAAAAATGCCCTAGGATATAACAAGCACATTACAGAAGATAAATAGGAAAAAGCATTTTGATCTAATTGTAAATAAGGAAAATAAAAATTCAGTAACAGCGAAGTGATTGTATAAACTGTAAGAACAGTATAAACTGTTTTAAAATACAAAATGTGTTAAGAGTCCATGCTGATAAGCATGAGTCATAACAAAAATCATTTTCAGTTATACACAGGGCATTTACATTCTTTACCCAGAAGAAGAAATAATTTAACTGTGTTGGTCTTCTCTAACTTACATTCCTTTACTATCTTATACAAGAGAAAGGGGATTTATTTTACCATCTATTCATAGAAGAGGGGGAAAGTCTATTATATTTATGTGTGCTGAGTATGCTCTAAATAATATTTCCTTTTTTCTTTCAAAGCCTTTCACTTAAGCAAGTACTTCATTTGATTGATTCTGTGTGTGTGTGAATGTGTGTTTTGTGTGATAAAATGATTATGACATTAATTCCTCAACAACTGAGGAATTAGTGGCTCTGCTTAAATTGGATGGATATGGTTTTCCATTGCCTTCAGTTGTCTTAGGCATACCCTAGAGGGTCCCTGGAATTTCAGCCATTGGATATTCTTATCTCCATTGGATAGGGGTATTCCCATTTCCCCTTGATAATGATCATCTATCACACCAGGAGATATAATAATCTCTTTTTACCTTTTAGTGGTATACGAGGAGCCCAGAGGGCCTGGTGGCATTGTCAACTTCTATTCCAATAATCATCATTTCCCCCAATTGACTCATTTCTCAATCTTTTTAGATCTGCATTGATTTCTTTCATCAATTTTTGGTTGTTCTTAAATTTTCTTATACAGATTATGCACCCTTTTGTACGTCTTCATCTTAAATATTTTATGTTTGGTGGTATGATAAATGGGACTTGTGAAAATATTTTAACACAGATGATTCATTGCTACTATGTAAAAATATGTCCAACTTGTAAATTGCCCTTGTAGCTTTCAATGACCTTATTGAACTCATTAATTCCAGAATATGCATGTGTGTATAATTATATACATACATGTATACATATGTGCACACACATGTATGCTTTGAGGCCTTTTTGAGACAGGCTCTCACTATTTAGTACTAGCTGTCTTGAACTCAGAGATCTGTCTGACTCTGCCTCCTGAGTGCTGAGATTAACGGTGAACTGTTTCTGCAGTGTTCAGAAGAGGATGTCAGATCCCCTAGAGCTGGAGTTACAGCAGTTGTGAGTGGGTGCTGATGTGGGTGTTGAGAACAGAACTCAGGTCCTCTGCAAGAGTAGTAAGTGCACTCATTAGCCGAGCCATCTCTCTGCTTCTGCCTTGTATATATTCATAAATTTTCTAATGTAAATGCTCGTGTCAGTGGGAACTCAGTTTTCCTTTTCTAGCTTTGATCTTTATTTGCCTTTCATGTGATTTTGTAAACTTAACTACACTGAATAGTGAATAATACTGAATGAGAAGGAAAGGAGTGGCTGCCTTTGCAAACGGTCTCTGCTTTGGGCAAGAAATAATTTGACGATAATGCTTAATACTGTTTTGTTAATGCTATTATTCAGTTTGAAGAATTATCATATGAAGACATGTCTAGGGTAAATATTTATGCACCAAATCATGGGGTCCCCAGTTTCATAAAACAAATAATAAAGCACATAAAAGACCACATAGGTATGGACAAAATAATAATGGGAGACCCTATTCTCACACACATTCTGATAGATGTCTGAAAAGA